CACAAGATTTAGATATGGTTCTAACAACACCCCTTCCTACACCACAGCCTCAGACTACATCCCACGAGAGAGTGCAGCTTACGTCTAGTGTTCAGAATTGTTAACATTTTGCGACGGGCCCTAAAAAGCCGTCTTGCTGCAGAAAAGCATTGCTGTTTTCCTTGTAGCTCCTCAACGTTCACAGCTGAAGTAAATTCATGTCCTGCTTGACAACCAGCAAAGCTATAATATACGCGATCGCTCACATCAACTGAGCAATATACACCGCTCAGAAGATTGAACACAACGCAACATCACATCCCTGTAACTTCGACTAGCGCGTTTGAAAGTCACGAGGCATAAATAAACGGACAATCATGGTGTGTTTGGGGTGAAAAACGTCACTTGAACCTAAAACTATTACATGTCGGGCGGGAAGGGGCGATCCTAGTTGAACATTTCCCCCCTTTTCCCCTTTGCACGTTAACTTCATGGCAACTCGCCTACGTTGGAGAATATACCATGGGAATTGTGTGACACAATATCCAAAGGAGATTGTCTGGGCAGTGGATTGTATCTCAGGTAGATTGTGTGCAGAATATCCGAGGTAGATTGTGTGAGCATTGTAGAATATTTTAGTGTCAGGTCTTGGCCAGATATGACTTAGCTACTGTCTGTACTACCATGTTAAGGATGACTTTGATGGGTTCACCAATGCTCTTGATTCCACTCACTGAGCCTGCCCCAATTCATGTCTTGTAATTTCATACTTGTCTTTTCTTCGACAGTAAACAAAAATGTCGGTGAACGACATTGTTCTGATCAGACCTACTCTGTGCACACTGAAGGGAACTGATGACAACAGTAGCCCCTGTGCCAAGCCCATGACTTGCTGAGGTCCTTTACTTTGCAGCATGACTTTCTGTCGGAGTTTACAGCCGATGAGCGTTAATATAGTCTAATGAGTTGCAGAGCCTCCCGTTCTCAGAGCTAAAGGAAAACCTTTAACAGACACATCGGACATCGTTCCGGCATTTGTTGCAGTTTTAAAGTTCTGTCTTGGAGAACGGCTGGCAACCTGCCGAGAGAGTCACAGAAAGTCTGAACTTCGTAGCTTCAGCAGTGATCTCGAATGGCGATGTCCGGGAAATGAACTGAACCTTCAGAACGAAGGGAAAATGGCTTTATAATGGAGACCTCTAAATCGACAATGAGGTGGTCTTACTGAAAATTACACTACTTATTTATGTTTCATGAAACTAGTTTTATGTTAATGTGGCAGGACTGCAAAAGCCTTTTAAAACTGGTTTGATTAGGATGCAAGGGAACAAAACCCTAACGAGAAGTTGATAAAAGGCCGACGCACCCGAAAAAAGGGAGATTCAGATGCATTCTGGCTTCCCAGGGACAGGAGCACCCACCCAGCGGCGACTACACGCACATGGGCTTAACAGCGTGGGTTTCGGGTGACGGTAGATTGATTGACTTCATGGTGGCAGTATGTCTATGGTTAGATATAAATTTCCATTATAGTTTAAACTGAATTTTCTCTAGTAGTGAAACTGTGTAGAACTATATAACGGTGTGTTTCATCGCTTGGAGATATTTGATTTCAGGTCACTGGGAGCAAATTTTAACTTTTGTAAGTGAAGTGCTTAGCACATGGTGTGTGTGGACGCAATGTTGTTTGTTAATGTAATGTTATCTGTGAAGCCCTTAGTTTTGTTTTCACAAGAATAAACAGATAGATGTTCAATATGCTGATTATAATTTACTTGCTTAATTCAAGTTGGGATTTGTAGTATGTGTCTGTGGTTAGTCTATGTGTGTGTAGTCATATTTTGCTGTAGTTGTGTAATTCACATATTCATCGCCAGGGTTACGATGAAATATTTCGTGGTCCTTGCATAGAGGAACCCTTGTCCTTTCTTTACTTTTCCTGTTCAGCGGGAACCCACTATATTTTGTCCTAGCCATATTTCTTATTCCTCATCTAGCTAATGATTTTCTTCTTCTTCCAGCTAGCACATTAACACCCAGCGCCAGAATGTTGCGCGACGAAATAAGGTTTTACAAAGGTGAGATTGTTTGCAACAGGCTTCGATCCCATACTGGAGAACCAGGAAAGAGAAGATCGATCACAAAGACAAATGGACATGGTTGAAATCTGCAGTAAATGAGCCTCAGAATGCTGAAGAAGATCCCGTGCCAGAAATTAAAAAAAAAATGTGTAACAGTTCAGGATCTAATTATTCAATGTAACATCTAGATTCTAGAACAGCAGTTCTCAACGTGTGGGTTGGGACCCTTTTTTTGGTTAAACACCCTTTCATAAGGGTTGCCAGAGACCATCACAAAACATATATTCATTGAAGTTATGAAGCAGCAACGAAAAAATGAGAAACTTTTAAAGGATCGCAGCATTAGGAAAGTTGGGAGCCATTGTTCTAGACGATGTAGTTCAAGCAGTATAAATATCATTGTCAGTATGTTTTTCATCTTTAGGGATGGCAAATTCAAGAATTCTGAGGTGTCCGGCCATTTTTACAGACACTGAGAACATTAAAATGGCATGTATACATATATGCGAAGTCCGAGAGGGCAAAGTTATTTTTGGAATTTCTGTATATTCAAAGCTGCGCCACTCTTGGCCTTGGCGCTAGTTCTGTAGCTTGAATACTAGAGTTTAATTTCCACTACGGACTTTATTTAAAAACAAATCATGGCAGACACTCCCCTCCCCTTGTGATTTTCACTTTCAAAACTGACCACTGTCCCCAGGTCAATACACCTTAAAATGGGGGGAACGATATCCTGGGAAGAAAGGATGGCTGGCATGAGCTGACCACATCATGCAATGAGCTATAACAAATATTAGTCTAGCATCATGTACTAGATACACTAATGGAATAGAAAGCGCTCTTTGCTTTTACTTGCTTCAATTCACCATAATTTAGCATTGGTAGCTCCCTGTCAAGGAAATACTGGATGAGGCAGTATTGTGTACCAATGGTTCTGTTCACTGGGGTGATAGATCTTGTTTTTTTTTTCTTCTTCTTTTTCCAACTACAGTGAAAGGAAAAAAACACCGTGGCAGAATAATATTGTGCTTTTTAATCTACAACTCCAAGCATAATTGAGGTGGAGGCAATCACCAGCTCTGAAGTGGGCAGCAGAAAGCAAATTTTAGGAATTTTCAGTCAGTACTGTGGAAAGTTTAAAATTAGACAAATGTGGCCTTGGTGGATGCTAAGTATCAGCAGGTCAACACTCATGTGGACACATTGCCCCGGGATAGGCAGGATTGCGAAGGAATAAAAGAGCAGATTTTGTTTGGCTACAAAAGCAACACTCATAATGGACATTCTGAAGACCATTTATGAATGAATTCTGATGGAAGACACGAGGTTATATCAAATATGTGTAAGAATGTGTGAACAAGGGCTTCAAACTGGATCTGGTAAAGGAGGGATGTGTGTAGTATCACTGGGCTACGGGAACAGTTAGCATCTATACCGTAAGACAGTGGTAGCAGATGAAACATCTATAGGTACGCCCAGTAGGCTATGATGTTGATTCTTAAATAAGTTATCAAGGAAACACAATAACTTTAATATAATAAGCAGCTATTTTGTAAACCAAACTTCAATTTTAAACAAAGAATAATAAATATATAACATGGTTTCTTTATAAGGGACAGTTTACTGAAAAATTTCTAGAGTCTGTGAAATGAACAAGTCTGAGACTAAATGAACAACACTGAATTGTCTAACTACTGTACTTTATTGTGAAACAATGAAATAAATTAGACATGGAGGGGAAAAAAACACTGGAAATGATCTCAACATAAATTTCAATCTGCAAATAGGAAAATATTGATCATGCATTTAAATATATAGCACTCTGACACGTCTGTGTATAGGTGTGAATAAACGATTTAATTATTTCTTTAGTATGAACATACTGCAGAGATGATTACAGTAAAATTATGTGTCCATGGCAAAACATGAGTAACTGTTATGTTACTATGTACAGATGAAGTAAACAGATACAAACGAAACAAATACCAGTACAATGTGAACATACAAATGGATAAGAATTTTAAAAATGAGGTCTGTCAGCCTAGCAGAATGAACAGAAGTGTTGGTTACTCTCATGTATATTTCAATAGTCGCAATCTAATAGACTAAACACAGCATCAGATAAGTGGGAGACAACCATTATCAGAGTGGCAAAAATGAGACTAAAGGACTGAATGATGTTGAATTAAAGTGAGAGAAAACTGAACTCAACAAGCAAAAGCAAAGGTGGTATGCTGATTTGCATTTTTATGTTAAATACAATCCAGGTAGTGAAACTGAAAGGTCTAAAGTACATCTGCATTGTACTGTGTGATTTTGTGCTGTGATTTTACCACCTTTCAGCTGACATATCCAACTTCTTTAGGAATTTGCTGCCTCAAATAGCCTTCCTTTCTTTCGTATTCTTCTTTAAACGAGCAGAAACGTAGGCATCAGCAGGTGAAACAGTCAAACAAAAACACAGAGGGGAGAAATCTATCAAACTGAAACAAGAGAAAAACAAATGTACACAGAGAGAAAATCTATTTCTCCTGTAATCTGTTCTCCCAGTATGATTATAAAACTACCAATCAATTATAACTATACCACTTATCATTGTCCATTCACAAAAAGATTACAATGAAGAATAATAAAGGACAACATAAAATTAATTGCCTGACCATGTTTTCAATTGTACACTGGTCATTCAGCTAAGATGAAGACAAAGAGATCATTGCTAGAGACTTTATTATTGGTTTTTTGTGTGTGAAACAAAATCAAATCAAGTTTGCACCATGTACAGTACATGCCCTATCTCACAGAACATAGATTCTGAATATAATGAGTTATTTGGCTTAGGATTCCTCTCACATACAACAGTCACACACGTGGTATCCTGCGTGCAGGTATGTTTGCTCCTCTTTTACACAACATCGTTGTTACCCATCCGCTGGCTACAAATCATGCCAGATCATCCTGAAATGGAAGAGGTACTTTGTTAAAATTGCAATAATCAGTTCTGAACATAGTCAATTAATGCAATAGTAAATGTTGGGGGGGGGGGGGGGGGGGGGGGGGTGGTGTCACTGTAACGGTTAGATGCTTGCCTGCGGATCCCAAGGACATTGGTAAAATCTGATTGGAGCCGGATTTTTCCCCCTTTAAAAATGACAAGCTTAAATGGGTACCAGTAAAGAGCACGTAAGTAAAGGCAACTAGCATAAAGCTGACCACTTCACCCACAGAGTACTGAGTGGTCTATAAAATACAGGCCTAGCACTATCTGCCCAATATGCCTAAAGGTGTGGGAAATGGCCCTTTGAAATGTGATGCTAGGTGATACTGTCACTCAGTTACAAAGTATCAGACCAGACATTTAGGCCAGCAGCGGCAGTTGGCTAAGACCTGCAGACGCCCTTCATTTTCAAAGGCCTGCCGTAGGCCACTCACTTTTTACAGTCATAGCGCAAAACTTATAAATATTAGAATCGCACAAAGGATTGAATTCTCAAGTCTAAGAGTTCTATAATGATACAACAGAGCCTTAAGGGCTGTTCTGTGGACCTACAAATGGGAAATACTTCTAGGCATAATTACACAAGATGACCATTTCTGTGACAATACTTGGAAACATCTGAAATTATCTAGTACCCATTTTATTTTTCAAGTCCCCACGTGGCTTCTAGGATCCTATTTTGTGGGGGGGGGGGGGGGGGGGGGGGGGGGGGGGGGGGGGGGGGAATATAGACCCACTGTCGCCCCCCACAAGTACTTTAAAAAATTAATTAGGGGTTTCCTGATACTGGAAGTGCTGGGCTAAAGGGTGCAGATATCGCAGCCTACAGGAGCCAAAGGCAATTGCAGACGCCTGTTTAAAGGGGAGAATATCAACTTCATTTCACCAGATTTTATCTCAAAAGGCTAGGTTTCTCTCCAGCAGAGTTGCTGTTCATCCATCAAGAGCAAAGCACAAAGCATGAAATCATTAGCTCGAGGTAAAACTCACAAGCGATCTCACAGAATATAGGTACTTAACCGAAGTACCAATTCTGAAACCAAACCTTCGACTTTCAGAGTGAATCAAACAAATTAACCATGAAGACCTCCACTGTATAATGTTGTATTAACACTAGGGGTATGCCTTTGAAAGAGGAAAAGATTTAAAGACAACTTACCACAAACACTGTACTGCCACACAATCACACTACACCCCCCCCCCCCCACCCCAAATATGAACATGTGATGACTGGAAAGATTTGTGAAAAGAGACAGAGGTATACAATGTGAGAGGTTTCTTGACAGCCTTTCGTCGTGACAAGGAAGGATGACAGCATCAACAACTGATGCTTGCTGTTGGAAAAAGAAAATGGTGGAGAAGCATGATCGGCTACACCAGCTGCAAGGCACTTGGCGATGATGACAACTAATAAATCAACAAAAGAAGAAGCAACAGTATATCCTGTGTTGAAGGCATAGAGCTTCAGGGGTCCCGGTAGTTAGGGTCCTTTAAATATTTTCTTTAGGTCATGCTGGTGTGTCGGGAAATGAGCAGACAGATAGACTGGCTGGTTCTGCACCATTTTAATTAACGAATGACAAGCTAGATGTGAGGGCCATTGGGAGCAAGTGGACAGTGCAGAGGCACAAACAGATCATTATGGTCTGGGGAGAATAGCGCTGCAGGGATTACCAGGGAAACTGGCCGAGGCTCAAGGGAAAGGTGAGACAAATGTACAATAAAACAGTTACGGGTATCATTGGAATCGGAACTCTTTGCTACTGAAAATGGGGATGGGGCACTTATAGGAGTGTCCCAATTGCTATGATGCTGACTCTTAATTCAATATTCAACATTTACTGTTGAAAGCATGCAAAAACAGCAGTTTAATTCAAGAGAACACAGCCGCCTCAAACAAAAAAATCACAGCCACTGAAAACTTATCAATAAATGTTGAATGTTGTAATATAATTGCGCTTATGTTGGAGTGGGATGACAACCGATAGGAGATCGCAGCCTCGACTGATATGCTGGCACCCAGGGTTATTAATCATGGTAGTTCACTATCAAGAAATACAGATCTCATCAGCACAGGACTGCAACTGTCTAGAGAGCAAATTAAAAAGTTGTCACCCACAAACGGAATGCATCAACGATTTTCTTAGTGGAGAGAAACCGACTTGCACAGTTAACTTAAAGGCCATTGGTCAATCTCAGCCGACTATAAATTCAAGCAGATTGCAAGCAGAAGTCATAGGAATTACACAAATACATAGGAAATTCAAATTTAAGCTATTAATAAAACAAAAACTACATTATTAAAAAGGAAAGAGAAAGAAAATAATTAATGTTATGAATAAAAAACCCAAAAGATTAGCTGTGATGGTGGAACAAATTAGGTAACATTCAGATTAGAAACAAATTACTTAAAACCATGTCAGTTCATTCAATTGTTGATAACAACAAACTCTCATAACTGATAAGTGATAATTCTTCTAATAAATGTTATTGAATGAGAGTATTCATCTGAAGTTTTACTCATATTCACCTCAGAAACAACTGAAAGCCTAAACTGAGTACTAATTCTGAAGTTCAGCTGTAAACAAGAATCATATATTGAGACACATGGCACTGCACATTTTCAAAAGAAGTGTTAACATCTATACAAGGTTTAGCAGGCTTTTTAAAATTAACGCTTGCTCCAGAAACACACAAAAAAAGGGCCATGATCTGTGTTGAAATTCCTGAGAAAATACTTAAAAACAGCAATGTTTACACAGGTCACTAATAATTTTATTCATTAACTTCTATTTTTTATTTTTCTTCAAAATATATAAAGCTATATGAAGTTAGTAATGAATAAACATGTACAGGGCAATGTATTAAATGAAATTCAATCCCTTGGGCCTTAAAAATTGCATATGTGTTTGTTGATTTATGCTAGGACTCCGTGACCTCTATCACTCAGGCTTATGGGAAAATTTGACAACCTTGATTTTAAAAAGCTTGTCTCTAAGCGCCTCTCCCCCTCCCCATGTTATTTTGAGTTAATGTAATCATATCCTGGCATTCAAATGTTTGCACAGGTGTGAAAACAGGCAAAAGCATCAACTACTCGCCCCTGAACAGATCACTATAGAAAGCCGGGAAAGTGACAGTCACAGTAAATTGGACCCAACTGAAAGTTTCGGTTATGTGGCTTCTCAAGGTGAAATGTTTAACAATGACCTGGAACTCCAGAGAATTCCCAGATAAAGTTACAGTTGACAAGATCAACTTAACTGCACCTGGTTATCCCATAAAACTTGGTCTCTCCGTAAAACAGCTAGTCCCTTGCCAAGAGAATCCATCATTGTAGACTGCACATCCTCTAGCTGAACAGTATGGCCAGACAAGCTGGAACTGCGATTGCCTGGCTATCTAATCTGCTCCTTTTCCCAAATGGGATATACACCAATCAATGCAGGTACACTGCAGACTCTTCATCTGCAACAATTATGCACGGCCAGAAAAAGAAAGGCTGGCCAGCCTAAACTATGTGGCATCCGTGTTGCGAGTCCGACTCAGAATTCTAACCTACCGTGATCGAAACCCATGGTATGGGGTCTCGCAGGTTGACCCAGTCTAAAATGGGTACCAGGATGGATGTCCTGGCAAAGTAAAGGCGGCCAGCGTAATGTTGACCACATTACTCAGCTAGTGCCGACTGGTCTGTAAAAATATGTGGTGCTCATCCCATATGCCTGATGCGCCCAAGGAGTGATAAGGGATTTTTACTTTACTCACTTTTACACTGAAATTACACTGAATATTAGGGCATTGTGTCTGGAGTGAAGTGATGATAATGTGCATTCTAAGTGTCAATTAACAGAATCAATACACAAGTAGTTTGCTTAAGTAGCATAAAACTGAACAAAATAACATTGTTCAAGGAAGAAAAAGCCAAACCCAACAAAAAAAAAATTAAAGAAAAACAGAAGTTTACCATTTTTTTTACCATGAAGATTAAGACATTTATGTAATGAGTGACTAAACAATAAATTCAAACTGTTAAATAACATTAAAAACCCACAATTGCACTTGGGTGCCTTTTATCACTGAAACAAGACTTAAAATTTGTGGAAACTATAAAATTTATGTCATACAAACAATGAGGCAACGAAGTCGTGTTTAAAGTCTTATATCAATAAAGTTTGTTGTTAAAATTTAAAACAATATTTGATTGCCATGAATCACTAAGAGCTGCCCTTTGGTAGTAATCCCCGAATAAGTTTAAAAAAAATATACAAATTTATATTTAAAACGGGCCATAAAAACCGACTACCTTACATCTGCTGTTGTTCCCAAATACTACTACTTTTTTTTTTTGCTGTCTTATTTTAAGGGCGGAGTAGGGCAGGGAGGTTTTAAGCATGAAAATATACAGTCACATGGCTCACAGTCGTCACAGACTGACTGTACAGGTAAAAATTTTGTTTTGATACCAGTGGCAGAAGAAAATCCATCATCTTACACAGAATCTGAATCTGGGACTCCTGGATGACAGCCCAGCGTTCTTACATTTGTCTGACCTATAATTAGGGTTTGCTACAAAAATCATGAATAAAACAAATACATTTTTTTTTAAAAAATTAAATACCACCTGCTGTGTTGTAGGAATGAAAAATGAATAAAAGAAAACCCCGATTTTACTTGTAACTAGTGTTTGATGTAAGCATAAGGCATCAAAATTTGGCTTAAAATGTAATAAAAAGACTGGACTTCCTGAACAGCATAGTCAAAAAGAAAATTAATAGCAGGAATACATTCAAAACTTTTTTTTTAACTGCTAGGTCCCTGAAGAGGGTCTTCAAATCTCAAGTACTTATTTGAGCCACTGTGTGTATGTGCCGTAACATTACAGAATTGTTCTGGTTACTTTCACCCAAAGCAATCATTATTTCATAGCGACCTCTGAAGACAAATACCCTTCCCCTATTGACTGCCAAAATATAGGGGAACATTTATAAAAGGGGATGGTATATGTATGTGCTCTTTTTATAACATAATACAACTATTATACGAGGATAACACTAGTTGTAAGACTACTACTACAATAATAAAGTTGTACATTTTTATTAAAACAATAACATGAGTCAAGACTATCTATCTATTAGTGCTGCTTTAGTAATGCGGGTACTATGCCAGACATACCACTTGGCACTACGCACAAATAACCTCAGTGCTAAGATAATCACACACGGCAAAAGAAAACTGCAGTTGCGTGAAAAGTAATAATTCACTGAGACATACCTGGAGAAGGAATTCACACAAGTTTACCTTTGGCATACTGAAGAGGGACAAATAACAGCCAGGAAAATGTACTTAGGTGACTATGATATGGTCGAAACAACATACTCTGTTTTTAAAAAATAAAAAACAACATTCAACTACTACAACAGACACAAGCAAAGCAGATCTGTGTCTAAAACATCTAACAACCATAATGCACTATCTACACACACAGAAGTATTCTTTAAATCTGCAGCTGCTTCAAGAAACTATAAATCTATAGGCTAATAAATTTGTTTTCTAATTCAGCAGCGTTCATTTTAAAAAGAAAAAGGAAGGAAAGGAAACACATACATCACTCACATCTTGTTCGTCATTTGGCCTGAGTTTATGGTAAACACTTTCAATAACTGATTTTCTGAAAACCAAACAAATTACAAGCAGAATTAATTTTTGTAATAAAATTTGTTGATGTCAGAAAAATGACAAAAATATATAAGTTTTGAAAGTGCTTTCTTTACATAACATTTAATATACAATTATTTTATGTGTTACTATGATAGTTGTGAATAATATCTGAAGCAAAATAAGTTTTTCTTTACAAAAGTTTAGCGAAAATAAAAAATTAACAAACATATAATAAGAAGATATGCTAAATAACAGACAATTATGGTAGAAATATTGCATAAAACCGCACTGCCCATAGAATGAAAAAGCCACAAAACATTATCTGACCATGGGTCAAAACTGACAGATTTATAATATCCTGAATAAATAACATGAATAAAAGAAATAATATAATATTTAAAATGTATCTCCTCCGCGGCAGCGGTTAACTATTTTCTGCTGGCCCTAGAGTGAAAATGAAAACGCCTACATGAATTCTGTCAACTCACTTGCACTGAAACCCCCCACCTGGGGGAAACTGATCATGTAAGTCGTCAGCTACCGAATGCAAAACATATCCAAAGTCATGATTTTCTTGAGGTTCTCGTTCAAGAATTTCTGGAGGGAGAAAAGCAACATAAACACCTGTAAGCATACAAGTATCTAAAACAGGGGTACACATAGAATTCCTTTGGGAAACTGTCTTTTTATTAGGCAAAAAAAAAGACATTTTCAGCTTGAGATGGGACCATCACAGGAGAACTCAACATTGCTACAGACAGCATTATAAGCTGCTACTAGGCATTCAACAGAAACAAAGCTTCCTTAAAAAAAAAAAAAAAAAACAAGAAGAAAACTAATAATCATTTAAAAAAAAGTTTCTTTAGTTAAGGCAGCATGAGGTAATACGACCTAATAAGATAAAGGAAAAATTGAACAAACAGAACAACATTCTTACACAACATGCTGCATGCAAACTTCTGAATCTTTGAAGGAGTCAAACAGATAAACGTGTTGAAATCCTACTGTTATGTTCTACAGATGAGAATTTTATCAGGATTTTAAATGCAAAAATAATCATATCTACTTATAAATAATTAGTTGCCAATGCCTGCTGGTCAAATTATGTGCCTACTATAATATTCTGAAATTCCACTTATATGTTAAACAGATGAATGTCTTATTGGGTCTTTGGAATATAAAATGAGATTCACTAATGGCTCTATATTATATTGATGGACATTTATTCATATAAGGGTAAAGACACACACACAAATTGTTTAAAATAAAAATGAAATTGTTACGATGTGCAGAGAATTATGTTGCACATGTCTGCTAAAATCTACAAACTGTTCATATAGATTTTAAACAACTACCAGGAATGATGTAGAAATCCCTAAACAATACATTTATGTAACGTCTCATATTTTACTAACTGCAAAACTCCAGACTGATGAATCAGCCATGTACACATGTGGACTGGCACCTGAGACAACAGATCACATCCTCTAAGACTGCCCCAAATACAACATATCAAGGCAAAACTTGTGGCCAAGAGAAACAACCGTGCAAGCCAAACTTTATGGGTTGCTGAGTGAATTACAAGATAGTGAAGTTTATACTACAGACAACACTGCAGATATGGATAAATCTATTTCAAGGGAACAGAAGAGAAAGAACAATAATAACTGCAGCATAAATATATTTAATCTGTCAACACTGTATCTGTTAATCAAATCTATGTTAAAACTGTAAAATGCAAGAATCTAGCAAATTTTTTGTATAGGAAAATTTTTCTCAGAAATAATAGAGACATTAAACAATTTACGAGCAAAAAATGTGGAAAGACGCGGAAGGAAAGTTAATGATAAGGGAAAGTAGTCCCTCTACTTCATATGTCATAGCCTAGAACTGATGATGGCTCACAAAATGTGGTCCAACTAGTGACATGCCTGCCTGCCAACTAAAAGCTCTTAGATTCAAAGTCTGCACCAGGTAAGTTTAGTGGAAGTAGAGGCGCTCAGCGTGATATTGATTTAACCCATCGAGTTCAGGTACAAAAACAACCAATGGATTTAGCTAGGCATTTTGTTAACAGGTCAATGAAGATGTGCCAGGTAAGCAACATTTATGGGGAACTAGCCAGGTTTGTGGTTTTTCAGGGCGAAAGAGTTAAGGAAGCTAAAATGATACTAGAAACAATTCTCATGTTTCATTTTTCTTCTTAAAGCCCATGCTGTTTGGTGTTGGTCCTCGCGCCTATCTGCAGCCTTCTGTTACTTGTTAATACAGATTTTCCGCATAGCTATGACACCATACTATCTAACGTCTTCTCTCTTGGTCTTCCCCTGCCTCTCTTTCCCTCTGACTTTTCTCTTGTCTTGATACATTACAAATTTTCTCTTCTCACGATGTACCCAAATACTGGTTACCAATTCTCTCAGTGAGTTAGATTTCTTCCAAAGAGATTATCTTCAAAGTCAAAGGCTTCATGACTGCTCTCTCAGCTAGCCCAGCCCCTGTGTGATACTTCTGGAAATGCATACACACATACTTTAAGTTAATACATTTGGGATATTACTCCAGCAAACAGAAATCAAGCCATTCAGCTACACAGAGGAGAATGGTACATAGATTTACTAAATCTATTCAACCTATTAAATGAAACAAAAATGTAAGAGAATAGTAAAATATTCAAAAATCTAAAAACTAGAACCATAAAAAATATGGACTAAAGGATTTCTACTTATTACTTTTCATGTGGGTTCCAGGGCCCCATGTATGCCATAGGAGGTGACTAATTAGAGGTGTTTCCTACGAAAATTCGAGGTGTTTCCTACAAACTCAAGAGTGCATATGCCTGAGGTGAGGAACCAGCAGTCTGCACACAAATAAGCCATACCTGTAATATAGGTGTACATGTAAAGATCAAGTTCTGGAACATGGCCAAAGTAAAAGTGAACCAAAAATACACCAAGAAAAAAGGTTTTTCTGTCAGTTAACTTTTGTCTCCCCATTGAATCTTGTACTTCCACTAATCTTACATCTGGTTCTTATATTCTGCTCTCTTCCAGTTCGTTTTCAGTGTACTTATCTCCACATTATATACACTGTATATCTGTGACTTATTTTAACGCGTTTTGTATTTCTTTTAATGATTCCCAAAGATGAACTATCTAGTAAAACTACCTTATGATTTTTGAACACGTACTGCATTTACATAAACGATTATGAATCTGGAAAGGCACATAAAAAGACAACAAACTGCCAGGTCATCACTACAAATCCTAGCTTCATCCTATTATCCCTAAAGACTGTAATATGTTGCCTCAATATCCATTAAAACCATAACATATTCTAGAATATAAGAGGAAAGTCTACTTATTTAGCACACACAAAAACGGCAGCATAATTTGTTAGTGCTTAGATTTCTAAAACACATGACCTGTTGGTGCTGTAAAATAATTAGGATTGATTTCATAATATAATATTTCACTTTTAATTAATATTTAGTCAAAATTTTACGGACCTTTAAACTCATAAACCCTTAGAGGCTAAAGGAATCGTTGCAATGTTTAAGTCAACCAAAGTATTTGATTACATTATCATGATTATGATACACAGTGCCAGCTTTAATCTAGGCTGCAATCATCTTAAACTGAAGTAGCCTATGAAAGGTATATTACTTAGCAAATAGTAAATTCAGTGGTTGAAACTGTTGCTTTAAACGGCCAGTAAAACAATTCTGTTATTTCTTCAGCATTTTAACGATAATGACAGAATTATTTTTTAACTTATATTTAGCAGGGCAGTTTATTTGCAGTATAAAGTCAACTGTAACTGACATGATTTTTCCCCAACTGAAAACAGGCAATAAAGTAATTAGTTCTATTAAAACAATAACAAAAAAAAGGTGACCTGTAAGGGTTAGGGTAATCCCAAAAAACCAACTGTTGACTAACATAAAAGCAGTAACATTCAAATGTAACACATTTCCACCACCAAATAAAAATACTCCATAAACCTCGATGTGCTATACTAATGGTAAAAGGAAAAACAGAAAGTGCAGGCTATAAATAAAGTTCAGTGAATTGTAAAAGTGTTACCTTTGACTTTTTTCTCAATCCTCTCATCAAGGTCTTTATCTTTTTTGACAGCCTCCTCTGATACTGTAGGTGCCCCCTCAAAAGCTATTAACACAATACTCATGTTATCCCTGCTGCCCTGTAATGATGATGGTAACAGAAATAACAAGCACCTCAAAATACAAAACCAAGTTTAGTTTACATTGTAGTACTAAAATTAAACTTTATGTAGTGTTTACAAAGGCATTCAAAATTGCAAATAACACACAAAGGGAAGAAAAATGTACATAAAAATTTACTTTTGCAAATCTCTCTCTCTCGTATTCAATTTTACCTTTCAAAAAAGTAGATCAAAGCAACCACTGGGTGGTAAATTGATGTGTGACAAGCTAGAAGATGTGAGGCCCCTTTAGGAGCAAGCGAACAGTGCTGAGACTTAAACAGATCATTACGGTCTGCAGAGAATGGGGCTGAGACGAGTTACCAGGGGATCTGTCTGATGTTCAATACACAAGGGAAAGGCGCGGAACTGGAACTCTTCGCTTGCTGCTGAAAATGGGGGAACAGAGCCCTTATGGGAGTGTACCGAGTGCTATGATGTTGATTCTTAATTCAACACTCAGGGTGCAGAGTTCTAATATAGAGGTGTGGGCGCAATACAGTGCATGAATCCAAAAACTATACCTCCAACCACATCTTACATCACTACCAACACATAATTACTTGGATATTCCAATAACATATGTGTGCTTCGAGCATTTCACGCAAACATGGGCAGCTGAACATGTACAGTATGATAGGAATTATCACTATGGAACACATACTACACAACATACATATGTTTCTACATACACAAGTAACCTTCCAACCTTACTTTTTCTAGTCTCACTTTTCAACATATCCATATTCATCCACTTCACACGTTTTAACCATGAGATAGAACATTATTAGTTAAAGCTTAGTTATACACTTGCATTTTTAATAAAGATTTTTGGAAATGAAAAGAATAAGAAAGCAACCTGCTGTAGAAGTGCAGCTTGTGTGTGTACTTTCACAAATTTCTACTTTTCTGTTGTTGTTGAATTTTTACTTATAAAACAATTGACACGAGTAGTAGTAAACATTTATTACTCTGGTGTTCATGAGGCACATTAAATACACATACATTTACAGAAGAAAAACACATGGTGCAGTCCTGATAAGGAGAACTAGCCTCAGACCAAGAAAACAGTTCTTCTTATCAGAAATGCACTCATTCAGACAAGTCCCAGCAATGCAAGAAAAGTAAATAAACTGTTCTTCACAATAGAAATTCGTCTTAAGCGGTCTGTACTGTATATGTAATGTTTACTTTAACAAGCTACTCCTCTTCTTCGGCTGTGTTCAGTGGAAAAGCTGAAATCAGCTGTTCTGTAATCAACCACTGATTTTTTTACTCTGATGTTTACTGGGCATCCTTAATGCAGACAATACAAACTGGTAACAAAGCACTAATGACATGAATTTAGCTGCCTGTATGTGACAATCTTTTTCATATATCTCACATCCGCAGCACATCAATAAACTGAGTAACTGACACCTTTCCGTCTTTCCCGATGACAGTGTTATACTGTGCTATGAGAAGACATGGGACTCACAGCCCATGGTGATGGCAAGAATGACAAGCAAAGACCACCCGCGTTAAGAAAAGTTTTTACAATTATAGCATAGGATTTCAGGACCCTCGTCAACAGTTGTGTTTACTCTGTTTCTACTCAAAAGCTCAGCTCTTATTTCTTCCTTGATTCTTATTCCCTTCCTGATGTGCCTCTTACACACAACATGGTCCATGGCATTTAGTTCCGAGTACACCTCAACACCTGCTTCATTCATGTCCCGCTTGCACACATCTTTATATCGTAGTAGAAATCGGCCTCAACATCTTCTACCCAACATCAACAAAGATGTCCGCTAAAAAATGTATGAACATTTAAGGAAAAATAAACTTGTTTGACAACTGACTTCTAAAATTACATGGGGTGCTCAAATGGTTAATATTAACATCTAGTCATTTATTATGGCAAACTAGTGCCTGGGACAAGCAGGGGCCGACCAACATGAAGATGGGCACAGGATATAAGTGACTCCCTGACTATGAAAGTAGACGAGTCAGGGCAGCTGACGAGAGACCCGGTTTCTTTTAGGATGACGGCGACTTTCTGTAAAGGATCTGTTACATGGTGATGAGTGCTTGGAATCAGCACCTGTGGCCTAGGGGCAGCGAACACAGTTTGTAATTCCAAAACACCAAACTTGATTTAGCTGCAGGCAATTTGGCAACAGACTGTTTCGCATTGATTTCAACTATATGGACAGCTGACTGTTCAGGAGGCAGTGGCATAAAAACTGCTGAACATAAAAACTGCCAAGTAAAAACACAAACAGCCAACAAATACTTGTGTTGGTTTGCAACTGCTAATCCTGTAAAGATACACTAGTAACTTTTCCTTTTTTAATCGCCTGAGCAAAGTTAACTTTTAGCCCCAGAGGGCTGTTCCTTCCACACCCCTATGCTAAAGTTTGTGTTACAGTAAGCGCAAGTGTGCAAAGACTAACACTGTAATCTGAGTCTGTTGTAAATGGCAAGTGAGGAGAGCTGTGGTAGGGTTGGATCATGCACCTTACAAAAGACAGCTAGCTGCAAATTTAAGCTACAAAAGTGACACATTTTTATGCTATGCTGCATAATAGACATATAATATTACCGTTACTCTCACATTTCTACAGACCAATCAGCACCCAACAGATAATGTGGACAATACCTTGCCAGCCATCTTTATTCCCAGATCATTTCCTGGTATCTCTTTTTTCAAATACTGGAAGGTGTGGATTCCGGGGCCCTAGTGTCAGGAAAAACATGAATAGACCCACTGCCTCCCAACAAGCATGAAGTCAACTAATTGGAAGCCCGAGCACATCTGCCTGTGCAGCAAGAAATTAACAACTGCACACAAATAAGTCAGTAAAACGGATGTATACATCAAACTCAGGCACTGGCATAAAACCCCAAATGGACAAACAACAAGGACTTTCCGTCAAAAGTAGAAGAAATACTGGAAGCCCAGGTGAAAAAAAAATTGTAAATCCACCTAACACATCAAATTTCCTCCAGAAAAGAACACAGTTCAGCCAGAAAAATTTAAGTACTGACAGACTGAAGTATTGACAGACTAGGAGACAAAGAGACAGGAATGAAGAACTGCAAGAAAGCAACTGATAGGCTGGTCTGGAATGCTTCATTAGATATGTTTCCACATGTGGGTTCCGGGGCCCTATTATAGGAAAAACAAGAATAGACTTAATGTCTACTCCAAAAGCTCGTCGTAAAAACTGACTTATTGGGAGCTACCTTCGAAGTCAGAGTGCATCTGCCTGAGAGACAAGAAACCAACAGTCTGCATAAAAATAAGTCAGATTTGTAAAAATGATGTGCACGCAACATTCAGGTTCTGAAACTAGGCGTTTCAGATTACAGTGTTAGTCTTTGCACACTTGGGTGAACAATTATAACTTTCCGCCAGTCTGCAGTTCGTGAACACGAAGAAGAAGATTAGGAGATTAATAGAAAAAAGACTAGCCAGTAACAGCAAGTTTTTAAAAGACACTCTAAAATTGGTATTATACTAACTTTCATATATTGGTAGATTTTTCATGATGTTTAATCAAGAACTGCTTTACAGCTTGGTTTGTCCTCCGTGATGCACGTTTTCCTCATAATTTGCTACACATTTTAAAAAAAAATCAGTACTAGTACCATAGTCCACATGGTTAGAAGAAAGAAACGGAGGGGGAAACACAAAACAAGACCAAAATTAAATAAATAGGTAAAGAAGATAGGAAGAACTTGGAGTAAGTAGCCCACATTATAGAAATGAGAGGATGACTTGTGAAAAAAAATTGAGGGCCTATCCTCCTCAGAGTAATTTAGGAGGATTAAAGAGACCAGAAAGAAGAGTAGAGAAACAGGAAGAGGAGGAAGATAAAGAAGCAAAGCTTCTCTATAGTAACCAAAATTGAAAGAGACCATAAGAAGGAGAAAGCAGAGAAGGAGCAGGAAAATAAAGAAGAAGAAAAATTAAAAAGAGCATCTCTGTTAAAAACAAAACTGAAAAAGACCAGGAGGAGAAGAAGGATGAAGAAGAACATCTTCTCTAAAAGAACCAAAAAACTGGAACAGAGACCAGAAAAAGGAGGAGGTAGAGGAAGAAAAAGAAGAAACTAAAAACACCTGTAAAAGCTGAAACTGTGCTCCTTACCTTCATTAAGCAGGTATCCACAACTTGGTTACACACCTCCTCCAGGCTGCTGGTGATCCTCATCCTATGCTCTATGAATGCACAGAGTTCATCATTAGACATAACATCCCAGATGCCATCACAGGCCAGAACCAGGAACTGGTCGTCAGGGTTGCGCTCCTCCACAAAAACCTCTGGCTCTGGAGACACTAGCTGCTCGCATGGACCTTTGCCCTCCACGTTTTTATACTCAAAGTCACCCAGTGCTCGAGACACTGCTAGAGAGCCATTCACCCTCTGGATCATGACGCTGCCCCCGGCATTCTGTATACGCTCTTTCTCTATAGGATTAACAGGTTTGTGGTCTGTTGTAGCAAACGCACACTTCCCATTACGGCACAGCACTGCGCGCGAGTCTCCGCAGTTGGCAAAGAAGATATGTTTAGGTGACACGATGCTGCACACAGCCGTTGATCCACTTTTATCTTCTCCGCTGATTACCTCCGGCATGGAACGCATTTTCTCATCTAAGTTCAGGAAGCCCTTCTTGATCCCAGCAAATACATCTTCAATGGAAGGCTGAATTTCGGTGCCATCAGTCACGTCTAGCTTGCCTCGGAAGTCTTCATTCTGAGTTATATGTTCGAGTAGTTCCTCTGCGCAAACAGCGGACACTCTAGCTCCGGCGTGACCATCAAACACGGCAAAGAAGGACCAGTCTTTGAGATAGTTGTGGGGGATACTGACTACCGCTGTATGTGCATCTTCCATTTCCACCCGCCAGCCTTGCATGCTGCTAAGGCCGTAACGCAGTCTATTGCCAACGCCACCTTCATTGTGCTTCTCTGTTTTAGGCTTGTCTAAAAATGCCCCCATTCTAGTTACTGCAAAAAGCAAAAGGGGAAACAATCAGAAAACCACACACAAGTAATGAATACTGATATCATGTTATCTGTAATGTGATAAACATATGGACACAAGTGACACCATGCAAGAATAAGCCTAATCATAAGTTTGCTGCTGACACTAATGTTCCTGTTGTCTTCAAAGCTGATTTATGCAGCTATCAAGCCAAGTGGTATAGCAGCTAAATACTTGCCTGCCGGTCCAAAGGCCTTTGGTTTAAATCTGCATCAAATCAGAATCTTTTTCAAAAATAACCCTGGCTTCCATGTCAACCAGCCTAAAGTGGGTACTAGGTAAAGTCCTTGGAAGTAAAGGCAGTCAGCGCATTGCTGACCACATCCCTCATTTAATGCCAATTAGACTACAAAGAAAGGAGTCAAACAACATATGCCCTGTTATAAAAATGAGATGAAAGTTGTCCTTTGCTTATACAGCTAACTTTCCTTTTTAAAGAAAAATAAAAGCACACATGAAGGACTTATAATCATATCAAGAGTAATGACTTTTTAATTCTGTCTTGTCTCAAAACATGTGCAATTAAATTCCCATGTGTAAAAACAAAGAATGGTTGCTTTATACTTTTGTATTTGCTCTCAGCATAGTAAAGCAATCTGGCTACATTTCAGCAAACAAATCAGTATAAGAAAGCTGATTTAATTTATTTGTTCCTGTTGTGGGTAACAGGGGTCCTCCTTTGGGAAAACAAAAGAACAGACCCCAACATGCCCTCTAACAAGCAGGTTGTAAAAGCAGACTAATTAGGAATCTCTTGAAATTTGATGTATCAATGGGATGACAAAAGAAGAAGATAGAAGCTGAAGTGTCTTATTATGTACAAGCGATTGTATAGAAGCTGAAGTGTCTTATTATGTACAAGCGATTGTATAGAAGCTGAAGTGTCTCAGTATGTATAAGTGATTGTATAGAAGCTGAAGTGTCTCATTATGTACAAGTGATTGTATAGAAGTTGAAGTCTCTCATTATGTACAAGTGATTGTATAGAAGCTGAAGTGTCTCATTATGTACAAGTGATTGTATAGAAGCTGAAGTGTCTCAGTATGTATAAGTGATTGTATAAAAGCTGAAGTGTCTCATTATGTACAAGTGATTGTATAGAAGTTAAAGTGTCTCATTATGTACAAGTGACTGTATAAAAGCTGAAGTGTCTCATTATGTACAAGTGATTGTATAGAAGCCGAAGTCTCTCATTATGTACAAGTGATTGTATAGAAGCTGAAGTGTCTCATTATGTACAAGTGATTGTATAGAAGCTGAAAAACCACAACATTGGGCTTCTACCTAATATCAGTGAGAGGACAAAAGGAGAAGACAGAAGCTGAAGTGTCTCAGTGTGTAAGAACAGATGGTACTGATTCTGCTGTTGGTACCCTCCTGTCTTTCCAGAAAATAGTTTTTGACTTTGCTATAGGGAAGCAAGGAAATGACAGCCTATGGCGATGGTGGGCGTGAGAATAAGACCAATTAGGGCCAGGGATTCAGTTTCGCCTCTCCGTATCACAAAGTGTGGGCATCAGAAGTAGACAATCTACCTTCTTTGACCCCAGTGTGAAAAACAACAACTGGAATACACCTTGACAATAGAAAAGTTGACAGGGTAAGAGAGATAGAGGGAGACCAAAATAAAAGCTTCTGTGCAGTCTGGCATCATTTGTGAACAGACACCACCACTAGCACAACCAATTATGTGAAGTTGAATATGCCTTCCCTCAACACCCATTCTCTTGTATCATTTATTAATTCATCATCATAAACCACTTCTGTCGTTAAGCAGGAACAAATTGCGACCCTGTGGACACTGGCCGGCACAAGCTTTTGTCATGCTGTGAAAGAATAAAGTGTCTTTAATATTGTCGATCCAATATTTTTGTGGCCGTCCTCTTGCAGCTGATCTAACATGTAGGGAATGAGATGGTGTTTGATGCTGCTGCATTTTAACCTCTTGATCAGCTGTTTCCTAAAACATCTATTACAAGGTGCCATTCCTACAATCTTCCTGACAGAATCATTATTCACTAGATCTTGGATGGTTAGGTTGGCAGCTTTTCTTAGACATATCTTGCAAGTGGTAATTTTGCATACATGGGCCTTAGACAATGTCCATGTTTAGCACTGGTAGCTCACTTAGGGAAAGAATATGCTGTTTCTTTGCACTTATAGTTATATTTTGATGCTTTAACTATTTGGTAATCTTAGTTTCAGCTTCATAGCAAACGGGTCACCCCATAGTTGCTCCGCTCCTGTGCCAACGAGAAAAATAGAATGTTCATCCATGGCCTTCTCCAGTCAGGCCGTACAACTGAATCACGGCACATTTTCGAGGAGTCCCCCTCGAAAATAGGTTATTGCAAGCGTTTCCATGTTGCATTTTGTGACATTATAATATGCTTACAAACTTTTGTGTTCTGATTGTATTCGTATTACAAACCGACAAGCGGACATACAGGCTGTTAGATTACAGCAATTTAAATTGTAATTCACGGGAGACAGTCGTGTTGTGATGTGTGTGTCAGTGTCACTGTTTCTAGTCAGTAGTTCGGATTTTTGGGAACTGGCTGTTTATTACTTTTCTACTTTAAATGTAGAAATCTAACTTTTAGGGATAATACAAACAGGTAATTTAGAAGCCATATCTGGAGAATATCAACAGTTGTCAGGTGCAAACTATCTTGTGTTTGAAGAAAACAATTGCTTTCAAATTGACTGTGCATAAATGGTGCAACACACTGTGGATAAATTGTGTCAAGATATTTCGGAGCTCTAGGTAAGTAGATGAAAATAATATTTAATTTACTAACTAACTTCTTACAGCAAGTCACTCTTTGCCTCTTTACTAATTGTTGACTAACAGTATAATTATATGTTTGTTAATTTTTGTAAACTGGCTCTTGCTTTGCTTCGCGAACACTGGCTGTAAACTCTTTGAAACTTCTGGTTGCTCATCGACTTCTTTTTGCATATTTTGCAGTTCTACGGTCTGTTAATTTTTGTAAACTGGCTTGTCGCGAACACTGGCTGTAAACTCTTGCGGAAACTTCTGGTTGCTCATCGACTTCTTTTGCATATTTGCAGTTCTACGGTTTGTTAATTTTTGTAAACTGGCTTTTGTTTTGCTTCGCGAACACTGGCTATAAACTCTTGCGGAAACTTCTGGTTGCTCATCAACTTCTTTTGCATATTTGCAGTTCTACGGTCTGTTAATTTTTGTAAACTGGCTTTTGTTTTGCTTCACGAACACTGGCTGTAAACTCTTGCGGAAACTTCTGACCGGAAGCCCATGACTATTTATTTAATACATTGTACATTCTTCAAGCACATAATTTGTTTTTAAATAGTCTATTTGTAACCAACAACGATTGCTTGAAAGAGGCTAATGAAAGAAGATCTATATATACAACAATAAGAAAGAGACAAACACTGTTCTTTGGCCACACAATGAGAAGAGAGACATTGGAGAACATCGTGACAACTGGAAAGATCAGTAGAAAGAGGGGTAGAGGCAGACCAAAAGAGGTGATGCTGGATGGACTAAAACGAAGGCATGAAGGGATATTATCAAGAGAGCTGCTCCAGTTAACCAGGGATCGTAATCAGTGGCACATGATGATGATTTGTATATTTCTATCATGGTTAATCATGTGTGATAATGTTATTCATCGTTTTCAGGGCTTTGTGTTTTCTTTCAACTCGGATAACATTTTATCAGCCATGTCGTCATATCAGTAATATATAAGACAAAGATGTGAATGCTGAAAACAATAAAACATGCAATATCTAGCTTCTAACAGCAAAAGAATTTAGCAATAAACCCCCAGGGATGGACTATCACAAATGTTAAAGCAAAACAAACTTCCATCACTGAAAAGGCTCCATGTGTCAAGTTCGGCTAAAGCAAATAACAGATGGGCTATTAATGTTTAGGACCACAAAGGTTTGGCCTTCACCCCTCACCCAGAAAGTGCTGGGTCAGAATTCAGCTGCACAAAAATATTACACAATCAAATAAGGATTCTAAGAGACTGGGAATTTAAAGAAAAAAGAAATAAAACAAGAGAAGAGAAATACTTCAGTGACAATTATAAATATAACACTTAAAGACCCATAGTAGAGATCAAAGTTGGAAGCATAAAAGGTGGACATTCAGAGACAGTATAAATAGGACGCCAGGCAGTCACTGAAGCCAGCCTTCAGTGTGTAGATGACACCTGATTGACCTTTTTGTTTACACATATATTTAAATTATGAAAAGACGGGGTGTCCGTCGTGAGGGTTGTTCTAAAGTCAATATTGCTTCCAAAGCACTGCCATCTCTGGAAAATGTTTTTAAAAAACTAGAGAAAAGTCCAAAAAGATACATCCTTGCTGGATAAATCATCCAAGAAAAGAAAACTACATTATGGGACATACTGCAGCTAAAACGTAAGAAGTTTCTGTTTCTATGTTGTCATATTGTATATCATCGAGCTCATTCCTATTATTTTTGTGAGGAGTACTCGGGGGACGGTCTGGAACTGTCAGAGTGAACATGGAGAAAGCATTGGCTTGATTCTGTTTTCCATTGAGGGGAAATACAAAACGTATCTCGTGGATTTACAGGAGGTGACTCCAGTGCATCCAAGAATATGCACTGCCTCATTTTCAATTTTTTGTTTCTAATCTGTTCATCTGTGTAGTGCTGACTGTCATCATGGCCAGAGCATTTATTGTGAAGAGACCTTTTTTGGCCTTGGTTATGTGGTCTACGTGTTTTCTGAATGCTGAGCACCTGTCAAATGTCTATAAGTGCTGCAATTTTTCACCAAGCAAGTATCTTAGTGTGTTAAGCTGATGACTGCAGTGTCTGACCTAGAGGCTGAAGAGCTAAGCACTCTCCCAATGTATGTACCCAGACTCTAACTTGAACTCAGGGCGAAACCAAAACCCTAATTTGTTTTAAGGTTTCAGCAGCTCAA